AAAAAACATTGCTATGGTTTTTCTTTACTTTTTTATTATCAATACCTCAACATGAAATTGAGTTTTCAATATATTGCAATAAGTTTTGAGTGTATTTTATCGAATTTACGAATTTTATCGAATTGTATCGATTTCAATTTATTTTATCTTAGTTGTTGCCATAAACGGGGGTTGAAGGTAGGGGTAGTATTTTTACGTTGAAGTATGTCAAATTTTAATTTAAATTTGAGTTGTTTCGGGATTTTGTTAAAATATATACCGTACCCGAAATAATGAATTTATTCCATTTGGCTTTTACACACTGTTTTCCATTTGGAGTACCACTTCAACACTTTTATAAGCGAAGAAATCAATTCAACAGATCAGAAATCCCCGAGACATTATAATAGTTCCTCCCTGAGTGAGTATGATCACGAAGATAGTAGGTATTAATAACAGAAGCCAAATATCACAATATCATTATCCGAGAAAGCTTCAATATGGGTATAAAAATGTCTGATGAATATTCAATACAACGATTAGGTTCTGTCTTCAATCAAAAATGAAGAAAAGATCCAAATACCTATCTACCAAGAAGCTGTGAATCAAGATATTCCTAAGTATTTTGAATTTTACCACCTTTGAGGAAAATGACTCATAACTGTTAGACTGCCTTAACCCGCTTATTTCATCCGACAACATCTTTGTAGAATAGACTGTACAAGACCATATAAATATAATAAATTATAAATTATATTTATTTTCAACTGTTTAGTTTCCAATGCTATAAAAGCGTGTTTTTTTAGTTTTTCAAACTATATTTATTCTTTTGATTTCCTTTTGAACAACCTATCAAGGTGCTTACGTACAGCGCCATCTGCCCGCGAATAGATCAAGAAATATCAAGGAGGTTATGTACAGCGCCATCTGCTCGCGAACAGATCAAGCAATAATATCGATAATTCTGTCAATACAGATCCCGAGCTTGAGAGTTAAAAACAAACAAACATACATAAAGCGTGTGAAAAAAGGTGCTTACATCGACAACAATTTTGAAAAGTTATGTAATAAAAATATTGACTTGACACGTTCTACGCCTGATTTATTTCTCCTTTGAATCAGAGGAATTCACTGTAGGAGTGACTAGTCCAAACAGATGGATTCAGCCGATACTAGATAAAAATTCAGAATGAACCCTTCATTAATGATTTTTCATGTTTTGTGAAATTGTCAAACTGAAGTTTTGTTAAACGAGCAAACTCAGTGCTCTATTGAGCCAGAAAGGAAATTCTAAAATGCAAGGCAGAATCCGTGTATCACATCAAAACCTTACATATTTTCTTATTACATGTTCAAGTAGTAAAAATCAAAACATCAAAAAACAAGAGAGAGATGTTATAGGAATCACCCACGCAACAATGATGCTTTGAATAAAATTGACAGATTGAGGAAATGTCTATCGATGATAAAAAAAAATCAATAGTAACAATAAGTTTTCATTCACATGCCCTGAAAAGAAATAAATAAACTTAGATTAAATGTTATTGACAAATAATTATGATTATTTTTTCTAAAAATGCTTGGGTATTATTACTTTACCATTAATTTTTAATATAAATACATAATATGCCTGAAAAAACATTATCACTCACTACGTAGTGGTACCACACTGTATCCTGCATCAACAAACCTCAAACGCACCGCCCATGAACGAATAACGAATAATCTCAACCCGAAATAATAAATGCCATACGTTGATACGTTGCAAGGGAGCCAAGCCTCCGACCGTTTTAAAAAACACAAACTCCGCGAGACCGATACAACCAGCAACATAGGTCCCGATTTTTAATTTTAGTTGCAGAAATTATAGCGTTAGAGGAGGCTAGCCTCCAGTTGGTCTCCGTTAGTGTACGACTGTGTTTGTTTTTTATTCAATTATTTGAACGGGATGGCGTGACGGACCGGGACTGAAAAATATTTCGGTGAATCGTTTTAGTGTTTTTTGATAATATTTGTTATTTGTGTATAAAACAGGCAGTATTGTATTATAGCAGTGATTTTTGGTAATATTTTTAATGTGTTTTTGAAGTGTTTTCTTTCAATTTCGAAGTGTTTTCAGGTTTTCACTTTTCGGTTTTCCTGGTTTTTGTTTTTTTAATGGTCAGTTTTATACGTATAATTTTCAGCAATACACAATTTTTATTTGCATTTATGCAAATATTACGTATTTTGCTTTAAATAGGTGCGGTACCCCAAAAAATTTTCGCGCCTCCGGCGGGCTTTTTTGTGTGTATATAGTCTTTATGACTTTAGCCTCCCCTGTTCTCCAATGCACGAGCCGTTACTGATAGAAAGACATAATATTTTTCTCCAAAGGATACAAAATACATAATATATACGTGCATATTTCCTTCTCAATATAATAAACGGTATTCACTATCCAAAGATCAACGAAAGTGACTAGCTATTCGAAAAATATATAATGTCGGAAAAACTTGTGTCAACTATAGTGAACATATTCAAAAAACACTTTATTGTGAGATTTTCACTGAACAGTTTAACAAAAACACAACACTTGTTTTGCCATACAAAGTCTTTAATAAAGACACGCCTGAAGAAGCCGTTGTATGATGAAATACGTGTTGCGTTTTTGTGGAACTGTATTGGTGAAAAGCTCACCAGTAATGATTTCGTTTATTCTAAAACAAAAAAGCTATTTTCGCAAATGCTATTGTATTTTGTGTAATTCAATTCTTTGGATTTTTCCATTCACACACAAGGTAGAAATACGAGATAACTACACACAAAAGCTTTTCAAAATATCGTTTTATTCACCAACTATGTGTTGATTACTTCACAATTTATCGAAAGGTGTGGTCATTTCTGAAATTGAAGGAACATTTACATATTTTGTTACTTCGTGTCGAATATGTAACAGTAGACTTGACAATGACCTGGAAAGGAAAATATTCGGCAATTGCTGAAGTGATTGTACCTCTGTATCAGCCTCGTTGCTTTTGTTTTACGAGAACAACTGAAATCAGAAGCGATGTGATGCGAAATTTTGTAGCTTATGCAATTTTGAAATATTTCGCATTAACTCAGTTAATGAGTCAAAGATAGTCAGATATATTGGATGTTTTATATGAAAGGTGTCGACTAGTAATATACAATCCTAATTTTGTATCTA